AATCCACATTTCTCTGTTCAGTTAGTGTTTATTCACACAGCTGGCTCAATGAATTGTTAAAATAATACTGTACTTTTTAACTTTTGTGTGTAGAAAATTAGCCCTTCATGTTATAGAAAAAGAAACGTCAGGTTTTTAGGAACATGGACGCTTATCAATTAATTTAGTCGATCGATAAGATCAGTCAACTTTAGATTAATCCATTAATCGACAACTTGCATCCCTAGTTCCTGCTGGAAGTTTCAAACAACCAGAGGTCTATGTAAACAACTTGGAATAAGAAATTAGCAGTGAGGAGAAAATAAAAAAAAACATATGCATTTGCGTGAACTTTTTTTGAAACTCCGTTTCTTGTAAGACAGCAGGAGTCCTGTTTGGTTTTAGTCCTGTTTGGACTAGCCGTTAGCTCATCAGTCTTGTTGGATATAATTTTTTTTAAGAGTGATCCACAACAGGTAAGATAATCATTGTTCACAACTTTTACACAGAAATCCACTTTCAAAATGGTTTACCTGTTCTATTATTAAGTTTGTTCATAATCAATCATTTTTAAGAGTAAATTGTTTAAACAATAAATGTGTTTGTAAAAACTTGAGCTTGTTGTCGTATAAAACAGACTTCTGTCTCTGCTGCCAGGAATCAAAGTCCGTGCTGAACCTCTTCACCAGGATCCGGTAGTAAAACAGCCGGGGTCAGGACCGCTCAGCAGGACCCCGGTCTTCTCCGTGACGCCCCCTCCCTCCTCCTCCCACCCTGAGAGCACCGACCTCCTCACAGATGGTCCTTTTCACCACAGGATGGAGCTGTAACTTCTCCTGACTACTGCCATCCTTCAAACACGTCACTGATTAAAAACAAAACAAAGCCACAAAACGTCAGCTTCAAACGTTGGTCTTCTCTTTTCTGTCGTGGAAGTGATGGAGGTGATGTGTTTTAGCCTGCGTGTCCAGGAGTTCTGAGCTTAAAGTACTGATGTGATTCTTTTTAAAGCCGCCGTTTGAGGCTTTGGAGCTTTTTATATTTAAATCATGTGTGTTTATGGTTTCTTCTTGCAACAAATCAGAGAACAAACAGCTGCTAGTGCATCTGCAACAAAACATTTGTTCATGGATGTTTTTGTCACTTATTCTACATTCAAGGCACTGTGACACTTTTCTCCTGTTTTCTTGATTTTAGACTGACTAAAAAACATTTTATTAAAACATGTTGGACAGAGACCCAGATGACGTGGAAACAATTCACCGTGTTGTGTCTTTGGATCCTGTTCAGAACCAAACCAGACCTGCTCAAACTAAAACCGTATGGAGTCTGATTGGAAGATTTTCCAGGTCTGGATAAGTGTGAGAGGGAAAAAAAACAAAATGAAAACAGTATGAAAAAATATTACTTATTGCATTTTCTATAAAATAAAAATCTAAATTTATAAAAGTTGAAATGAGCAGGGTTATTTATTTTTTATTATAAACGATGAACGTATAACCATCACTCTGGGATTAATCTTTTCTGTAAATTGAAATAAATCATAACGAGCAAAGATTTTAATCCTTACAGACATGCAGGCTCATGTCACAATATAAAAATCTGGTTTTTGGTTCAAAGAATTATGAGAATTCTGATAAAACAGCTGCACTAAAGAAAAAAATTTAATCTTGCAGTGGTAGGTAGTTATTTATCCTCTCAAGAAGTGTTGTAAGGTCAAAAACGGAAACTATTTTACATAAACACAGCACCACAGTGCAAACAGTAAATCAGAATAATTTAAAACATTTCGTTAAAAAAAGTCTTAAAATGTGGGTTTAAAAATGTCTGGAATTTAAAACTAAAATGTTCTGGAACCATGTGACCCTCTGCTGAAGACCCGCTGCAGTCGCTCAGAACTCGGAGTATCCGGACCCCTGCAGGCCTCGGCAGAGCAGAGAAAACTCCTTCACTGTCGCTTTCATCTGATGCTTGTTTGTTTGTTCCCTGAAAAAGAAAAAAAAAGGTTTATGAATGCAAAGATATTAACCTGAGAGTTTTTTTTTATTGTTTTTTAATCTTAAAATTAAATTAGAAACTGACTAAAACCCTAATAAAGTTTTTATTGGTGTAAATTATGAATTTCTTGTTTTAAATGAGTCAGAGATCTTACAGCGTTTCAGATAAGTCAGGCCCAAACACAAACCTTCACTTTATGACCGTCAACAGGTAAAGGGAAAACATGACCGGATATTTAACCCAACAGATGAACATAAATACGATGCGTTGAAAGCAGGAAGCAGTCGAAGTTAAAATGTACTTGTCTGTGGGTTTGTATTTTCAGTTCCATTCAAACTTTATTTCTTTAAAACAAGATTAATTCTTTGTACAATAAAAAGAAAATGAAAATACAATGAAAGGAAAGGCATTAGAGAAAAAAATCTTGTTATATCTGCCCCTTATTTCCTCAAGTATAAACTCAAACAATAATAATCTTCAATTTTCAAATTCAGTTTATTTATATAGTATCAAGTCACAACATAGGTTGTCTCAGGGCACTGTACATAAAAAGAACAATCTAAAGAAGAAACCAGCAGATTGTGTTGAATCACTTCATCACAGTCTCCCATCCTGAACAAACGGTGGAGAGGAAAAACTCCCTGCTAATCAGGAAGAAACCTCCAGCAGAACCAGGCTCAKGACAGGAGACCATCTGCCTCGACCRGYTGGTTGARGGACAGGAAAGAGACACAGACAAACACAGAAGAACTGGTCCAGGAGCACCTTCTTCTCTTCAATTTTCAAGGCATGTCTGTGAGGATCCATGCACATGCCTTCTACATGTGGGCGTCTGCGTCACGGATCAAAGGAAGCAGCTGAGCTGGTCAGTTCAACCCTGTTTCCTTTGACAGCATGAGGACAGTTTTATATGTGTTTTTAAAGAGAAAGACGTAGAACCAAATGTTTTCACTCACTGACCAATAAACACCAAGACTGACATGGAAAGGTCCTGTGACTGTACTCTAACACTTAGCAAAAAGTAGTTCAGGTGTGCTACAAGTATACTTATTTTACACAAAAAAATAAGTGAAATTTCTTTTTTATAAACTATATACTGTACTTAAGAATAGTATAGTGAAGTGTACTTGGTCTTATACTGGAAAGTATAAAGAGAAGTTTAAGACTAAGTACATTAATACTAACACGTAAGCTAATATTTTTTTAAAATGTTATATAAACATATCAAAGTTATTCTCAATATTCTGTCTTGATTTTGTAAACACATTACAGTGTAGTGCAGTGTTTCCCAAAGTTGGGGTCGGGACCCAAAGTGGGGTCCCGAAATATCAAGGTGTGGTCCTGAAAAGGTTTTCTGAATTAATTACATTTTTGCCTTAGTTGTTACAAAGGAGTGAGGTTAGTGTATTTAAAATGGATAAATGTAGTAT